GATGAGGCTGGCCCCTCCCTAGAGTCTCACGGGGTATATCCACTAGTTGCTTTAGCATAGGGTTAGTCTGGCGAGATTCTGTGCATTAGGTGCAAGATAATAAAGGAACTGAACTGTACTGGATTGCCTCGTTGTTGTTCTTGGGCTGAAGCTGGCAATTTCCACCCTGCAGTATTCCAGGAAATGAAAGAGAGGGGAGTTATGACATTGGTTGAACATCGTACAGTTTGGCCAGGCAAAAGTATTGCTGTAGACAGTTCCTGGTTATATCCTGCAACTCTTGCGCTGCCAACTGCTGCATTGAAACAGCCTGTATTAAATGTCCAAGCGCCCTTTAGTGAAGCTAAGATAGGCTCCTGTGAGTGCTGATCTGCAATCTCTGTAGTTTGTGGGGTGAGTTCACAGCTCCCGGTGGTATGTCCAATTCTTCAGTGGTGCAGTCTGGTTGTCCGTCTGTCTGACTGCCTGTCTTCAAGGGATGCTAGAGCTGAATTCATATTAGTACTCCTTTTGCAGCATTCTGCATGGGACACAGAGGCCAAATCGATTAGTGGGGCAGCTGTCTTGTGCATTGTGGTTAAAGTTTGCATAAGATCCTCTAACTTCTTCAGTAAATCTTCCTGTTCACCACCTGGCAAGGCTCCAAAGGTGTCAATTAGTTCTGCCTCCAGAGGCTCAGCTGCTATCTGTCCTCCTCTCACTACCTGAAATTGCTTATCTGAATAAGCTTCTCCCAAAGACAAAGCTGGCTTGTTGACTTTGCAACTGGCAGCAGCACTCCTTGATTCTCATTTAAAGTGCTGGCAGTCTCTTGACACAGCAACTCAGTAAGTGGGGAGATCTGAGTCTCACAATATACATGCCTTGGAAATATTAAGAAAGTAGTCAGCGTGGGTTTCATTTCAAGGAGCATACTTTGGATTACAGGCTGCCTGAATGTCAGTAGAATTCATTTACAGCACATCTTACTAGGAGGCCACTCCACCGAATGTAAGTCAACTGCATAGTAATGACATCAAAGTAACTGGCTTAGGGAGTAATGCATTGCTTTCTTTGAGCCCCACCATCTGCTGTTGAGTCTATTAAGGATAATTTGTAGATAAATCTGATTAATTTGCAGCACTCAATTATTCTGACTTTGATTTTCAGCCTTTCCATCTCTCAAAAGTTGAAGGACAAGTTTTTTTGTGGGGGGTTGTTCCCTTTTCTCAGTCAATTCAGCTGTAGAGTCTTTATGTTGGGTTATAACAGTATGAACGTTTTTAGATCCAGAGCTTTCTGCTTCGGCAAACTGAATTAATTTATTGTGAAGGGACCAAGTAAATACATCAAAGCGCTCTTTCAGTGAGTTCACTTTCACTTTTGTTTCTGTTAGATAATCAGAAACTGATAGCACAGTCCGCGCTCTCAGTAAGCTTTGCCTAGATACAAATTCTGTGGTCTCATCTTTAGAAACCTCTTCCTGACAGCTTTTTGTAGTAAATGCTGCAACCAAGCATGCAGCTGGTTCAGAAGAGGAAACTGTTATATCTGAGGTGCCCAGGGAATTTAGTTCCTCACTGTGGTAAGTGGGGTGGTCTACTACACTTTCATCTTGTGAGTCCCAATTCAACACATCATATCTATTTAGAGTGGGCCTCAGGCTTAGTTTACTGATAATACGCTGGTACTGTCATTACTTACATTTTCGTCCACAGACTTCAATTCTTATTGAATTCCATGAGGTCATCTATTTTTTTGTGGCTTGGATGGTCTGAAGAATGTCTGCATGCCAGAATTCATTCTTTGTCATTTCTTCTTCTTTCCCATCCTGTAATCTTCTTTTAACGATAGTGTATAAACAGTTCTTACCCAGTTTGTTTGGAAAATGGTCATATACAGTTGCGCACAGGGACCAGTAGTTAAAAAGGGATTAACCTGATAATATAGAGTAAAAATAAAAATTGCCAGAGCTCTTTGACAGCTGGATGCTTTCACTTTGCTATCTTGGGTCCCTCCCCCTGGTACAGGATAGGCAGGACCTGGCTCAACAGTAGTGCCTATGAGAGGGATCTAGGGGTCCTGGGGGACCACCTCTTAAGTATGAATCAGCAATGTGCTGCAGCTGCCAAAAAAGCCAACACAGTCCTGGGCTGCATCAACAGAGAGATGGAATCAAAATCAAGGGAAGTGATAGTACCTCTCTACACCACAGTGGTGAGGCCACATTTTGAATACTGGGTTCAGTTCTGGTCAACACAATACAAAAAAGATGCTGAGGCCATAGAAAGAGGGCAGAGAAGAGCAACAAAGATGATAAGGGGCCTGGATGCTAAATCTTATGAAGAACAGCTAAAGGAACTAGGTATGTTTAGCTTAACAAAGAGAAGACTGAGGGGAGACATGATAACAGTCTTCCAATACTTGAAGGGCTGCCATAGGGAAGAGGGCATCGATTTCTTCTCCATAGCACCTGAGGGTAGGATGAGAAGCAATGGGTAGAAGCTGGTCAGAGGGAGATCCAACCTGGAAATAAGGAGGAATTTTCCGATACTGAGAAATATTTAGCACTGGAACAGCTTGCCTCCTGGAGTTGTGGGTGCTCCATTGCTGGAGGTTTTCAAGAAAAGATTGGACAACCATTTGTCCAAGATGATATGAGGGCTCCTGCCTTGGGCAGGAGGTTGGACTAGAAGACCTCCAAAGTCCCCTCCAACCCTATGATTCTATAATCCTATGATCACCAACCTTTCACCAAACCAGTACAATTCATGAAGAACTGTGCAACAACCAACACAATACATGCCACCTGCCTATTGATGGAGAAGCACCATGAGAAATAAACAACCATGCCTAAGCCACTCATTGACCTAGAAAAAGCATTCGATCAAGGACCACATGACCTCATCTAGCTATCACTTAAATTATACAATGTATCTGCTGAGTTCAACTACTGAACCCCAATGTTATCAGCTCAGTAAGAAGTGGTGCTGGATGCTTGAGCATCTTTTTCATCCACAAAGGGACCAAACTCTCACCATTGCCCTTTCTTCTTTGTTTGGACACTAACCAGAATCCTAAAATCACAACACCCGTGGATGCTATTATATGCTGATGATATCATCATAGACAGTGAAACATGAAGCAGCCTCGAACAATTAGGGCAAAGGTAGAAGATGTGTCTTAATGGTTTAGGAATAAGGGTCAATATTAAGAGTGTATAACTTGAATGTGCTGACCAGACCAATGGGACACTCAAGGCCGATGGTATCAAATCAAGCAGCGTGACCCAGTTCAAATACCTGTGGTCATACCTGACGATTG